GACGGGAACCCCCAAAAGAAAATTAAGAGTTCGAGCGTTAATTAATTACAAAATTATTTACGGAGTTTTGGAGTCGCCACCTAGTATTTCGGGAATTAGGAACCTAAAAGTAGCACTCGGTTCATAGATTCCTAAGGTAAGGAGTTGACTACGCTTTTAGGAAGATCTTTAATCACCTAAAAGTGCCCTTTTCGAAAAAAGGTACCATGTATGGTTTAGTCTTAAATTATCTCCTAAAAATCCATGTCAAGATATTTTCTAATTTATATAACTCCTATTTTTTAGACTAAATAAAAATTTTTTAGTTTTAGGTGTGGAATCATATCAAAACGATCGTCGGTCCCCTTCGTTGAGTGACACGTCGATTCAAACATCGGATCCACTAAAAGCCTCAACACAACCGGTGTGTCGGAGGACGTCTTGATTAAAAGGTGATTTTTTTTCTTTCGTGTGGCGTCGATTCTATCAGATAGGAGACTTTGTCAATTTTTTTTAGGCATTTTTTTTTTGCAATGTCGATCCCTATCGGATAAGAGACTTTGTCAAAATATATATAATTTTCTAGCAATATATATTAAAAACCGAAATAAAAGTTCTAAATTAATAAAGAAAAAAAAACTACAAGAAGTAAAATAAATAGGCTAAAAATAAAATAAAAATAATAAAAATCATCCTACGTAAACGAGTAAAAAAAATAATCGACCATAAAAGTAAAAAGAAAAAAAAATTCTACACCTAAAATATTAACCTACCACTTTTACTCTTTTTTTTTTTTTTACCCATCCCCCCTTTTTCTTATTTTTTCTTTTTACCTATTTTTTCCTAATTCTATTTTTTATTATTTATTTATTTATTTATTTTATTTTATTTTTTTGGGAGAAAGATTTCACCTTGACTCCCTTTTCTTTTCTCTCGTTTTTTTTTTTTTTGCATCGAGCTTGGGTCAGGCCGAAATCGACCTAGCCCAACTCGTTTTCTTATCCCTTTTTCTTCGCTAGGCTTAAGCCCGAAAAGAAGCCCATGTAAACAACTTAAACAAAAACGGATCAAACACCCGAAACCATTCTCCCTCTCTCCTATTCTTAGTCTTTAATCTTCTCTCGCCTAATTCCTTAATTTTACCAGGAAATTACCTTCAATTAACTAAATCAATTAGGCAAATCAACATAAACAAGAAAAGAAAACAAGTATGCAAATAAAAACGAATGAATAAAATCAAAGCAAGTAGAATTAGAGCCTAAGCGACACTGGAATTATTGAAGACCAACCCGGAAAAATTCGAAAATGCAAAACCCAAAGTTGCTCGATTTCTCATAATTTTGAACCCTTTCGTTGATTTCTCGTTCACTAAACCCAAGCATATGATATTTTATCCAACCCGCATTTAAACACACTTCAAACGACCCGGGGAATGATGAATCGAAACCCAAGCAATGAAGAACAAACCCGAAAAATAAAAATGTCCGCAATGCTACCCGTAAACGTGAAGGGTCGAAAGTGCAGCAATTGAACCTCGAAATTCGGAAAAATGAGTGAAGGAAGAAGTGAGGATGGATATTTAGCCCCTAGAAACTCAAAATCAAACACCAAAAGAGACCGATAGCTTATGAACTAAAACCCGACCCTCAAGAACATCAAGAACATGAAGAACACTAAACCCCGAAACCCAAAAACCCAAAAACAATTCAGATTCGCCAAAAATCCAAATTAAATCTTTTTCTTTTTTATTTTTGAACTCTCTCTATCCAGAATTATTCGCCAAAAAAAAAACCCCTTCTTTATGTGAAATTCAAACGTTTTATAGCCAAAACAATTTTCTAAAATTGAATTGAAATCCCCGAATTTTCCGTCAAAATCTTCCTCTTTAATTTGAGATTAATTGTGAAATCAAAACAAGAAATTCTCATTCATTCTTGTTAGCGTTGATTTTGGCAACAAAATCCATGATTAATACACAATCAAAAACACGAAATTCATGGAGGATTTGGGCGATTCTCCCAAAGATTTTCGAAGAGAATCGCCTTGGAGTGAACGACGGGTCGTTTGCTCCATTTCGGTCTCGTCGTTCGCTCCAAACTTCCAATTTGGTCCTCGCGTTTCAATTTCAGCAATTACGTCCTCTCGCGAAATAATTTCAGTACAATCTCAACAATTAGGTCCCCGGAGGTGCAATTTAAGGCCTAAACTTTTTAATTGACTCGATTACATCTCTAATTACTTCAATTGCACCCTTAAATGAATTTTTTTCGTTCTTTTTTTCATCATTTTCTTTCTCTTTTTTTTCTTTTTCCTTAATAAACTTCAATAAAAAATAAAAATAATAAATAATAAAAAATAAAAACAAAAAAATTTTGGGTTATTACGGGGTAACGAGTTAAAAGAATGCTTCATTATCTCAAGCTCATTGTTGATTATATGCGTCACAACCACAAGTCTATTAGTCGACTTCGACGGGCTTTTTAGGCTTAGATTAGACAGGCTCCTTAGACGAGAAATAATTAATAAGTGGGTATATTGTTTATCATGGGCCTAATCTTATAGCTTAAAAATCATCAAAGTACAAGACAGTGGCCCAAATTTCTACTAAGTTTGAGTATAAAACGGTAGGCGACTCTAACCGTTGAAATTACTTGGGTCATTTTTTTACGAGATAGAGTTACAAGTCCAAATCGATATAAGGCTCATTATTTGGTGTGACAATATATGGGCTATATATTGGCGATAAATCTAGTTTTCCATCTATGCACTAAGCATGTTGAAATTGATTTTCACTTTGTCAAAGATATGGTAGCCCGAAGAACATTGCATTCATTTTCATATAAGATCGGATTGTTGATATTTTGACTAAATTATTATCCACTATAAGATTTGTCTTCTTACGGGATAAAGTAACTATGGGAAAATGCTCACGAGATAATTTATGGGAGAGTGTTAGAACAAATCTCTACTTTAGATAATTCTTCCTCGGATAATTCTATTTTAGATAAATTCAAGTAAGCTTTAACACCCACGAGTAAAAGACACGACATCTACTAAGAAAAACCATAACCATTTACTCGTTATTAGACTTAGATAATATTAGCTAAATATTATCTTATAGAACTCTTTTCTCGACTTTTTATTATGTAAATTATATCAAATTTTACTACTTATAGAGTCTTGTATAGCTTACAATTGTAACACAATAAAAAGAGACTTAAAGTTCTACAACAACAAAAAAAAAAATACACAATCGGAGAATTCAACTTAAACTCTTTTCTTCGGACTCAATTGTTAGAATCTCAAGAACTTAACACATATACTATTAAGAAAGATTCAAAAATTAATTTGATTAAATGATAAATTAAATAGCCTCGAGCCTACGATGATAGATAATATAAATTAAGATTGGTTTTTAGGTAAATTAGGATAAATCAAAATCACATAAAATATGTAATTAATTCTCGTTAATTGCTATAATAAAAAAAATGCTAAAACAAATATTGAAGCTATGAAATACATCATAAAAAATAATAAAATGCAAAAGTTGGATTCAATTTTGATGCTCAAACCTATTTGGTGGTCCACATTAATAATATATATGCACACATATTATATTACATCAATAACAAATTAACAAACAAAACTAAAAGAATAAGAGCTTTAACTATTCAATGACTATTCACATAGACTTAGTTGCACTCGTGGATACATTGTGCACACTTTTACTCCTCTCTCAATTGTCCGTTCTTCTTCCTCTCTTTTTCTTTGTTTGATTTATTTTTGTTTTATAATCCAAACCCATCATTTCTAATTCTTATCCTTTCTCATATCCACCACACATTATATTTTTGCTTGCTCCTTCTTTTCCTTTTTCAATTCTCATCTTTCGCTCTCCACCCCCAATTCTTATCTTTCGGACCTACGACAGCCCAATCCCGACCATCGCCCACTCATCACCACCATAATCTATTGCACCATAGCATGCTCCACTAAGCCAAACAATAGCTTCCTTATAGTTGTCTATCCCTTTCTTTGTTGCATTACCTTCTAATAACAATCCATTCAATCACCGATCACCACCGAAGCGTAACCCGATAGTCCCCTCAGGTGCCTATCACCTTCCGAATGGTTGAGTCCGACTCTTAGGTCTCTTAAGATTCTTAAACTAGGGTTAGATTATTGCACCCGGGTTTCTATGAGCGAGGTCTATTGTACTTCATCATTGTTTTTACTAGATAAGCTTTTTTGGGTGCTTTTTCTCTATAATTTTAAAATGGTTTTTGTTTAGGTTTATTTGTATTTTCCTTATTGTTCTATTCTATGTTGCCTATTTTTTCTATTTAGCGTTCTCCTAATACATGTTTTCATAGTTTTCTTTTCTAAGGAGTTCATCTAGCATAATTGGTTACTAATTGGGAAATTATGCTCTTTGTTTTTTAGGGATATTTATTTGGCAAAGCTTTTTGCTAAGGGTGGCTCTAGTTGTGTTTTATTAGTCGTCCATTGAGATATTTATTGATTTTTAATTATATTAGTTATGGTTAGTCATCTAATTGTTTGCTTCTGTTGGTGTTCTTCTTCCGATCTTTATCTGTAAGAATTTATTTTGTTTAATTTTGATTATAAAGTTTATGTGAATTTTTTTAATTGTTGAGAGAAAATAGAATAGTTAGGTGATAGATTTTAATTAGGGTTGCTCTTTCCAATATATGTATACTTTTTTCTATGTTCATAATTATTGATGATTATCGTAACTTTTTTTACTATTTTAAAGCCAAAAATAACGAGAAGGATTGAGAGTATGTGTTTATTTTTACTTTTTTTTTTTTTACATAAAGAAGAGGATGGTTAGATTTATGTTTGGTATAATGTTTTTGTTTAATACCGTTTATGCATTTTTTTTATTAAATACAAACATGCTCTTAGATTCTACAAAAACACAGGAAAAATATAATAGATTCCTCTTATCAATTTTCACATGTTTTTACTTGCTTTGCTCTATGTTCCAACTTTCTAAGTGTGAAGAAAGTGCTCACGGACCACTCGGATTTGTTGCCTTTCAACACAACAGAGCAAACTATCAAATCTTAAAGGCACATGCTATTGTAGTCATTCTTGGTGCTAGACTAAATTTATATATGTGGTGAAAGTCACATCCAAAAAAATTCCTTGCTATTGATTATCTTTTTTAATGAATGAAACTAAAAATTATGAATGATAAGCGGACGATCAATAACTCGTGGAGTTTTTATGAGTTAAGATTTTTTCAACATAGCATTTTATCTCTAGATACTATATAAATTGTTTCCATATTTGGTCGGACTAAAAGCAGCTTGTTTTACTATGTTTGAGAAATGTGAATGGGAAGTAGATTTTTGGTATTGATTCTTTGTGTCTTGTTGCTTTACTATTAAACTTTGTTAAAAAGGCAAAACTATGGAATATTGGTATTTCAAAAGAGCGAGTCTTACGAGAATGTTGCTATGACCTTTAGTATTGTTAGTGGAATATCGAAGCAATTGTTATTGTTATCAATGGACTATCTTTTAACAATAGGCATCCATTGGTGCTAGTGTTTCTCACACGTACTTGATTTTGAGTGCAAGTGTAGTCGTAGGGGGTAACCGTGGATGTTTAAGGTAAGGTTCGGGTTTTGTTGGATTTTGTTTATGTTGTAGATTCATGTCTTTTTTGTGCTTCCTTTCACAGATTTTCTTGCATTTATTACACCATGATCGATTGATCAATTGTAGTTTTTTGTTAAATACTCGTTGAATTGGAGCTTTGGTATTTAACTTCGAATGCTAAAACATTTTCAAATTTTATTCTCAAAACTCTATACTTGTTGTGGGTTTTGCTTTGGTTAAATAACTTTTTTGAAGCCTTTTTCTCTTGAGTTTAAAAGGTGTTATGGATAAAACTATCATCTTTAGGTCCTTCGTATATTAATTCGTTCTTGCTTGTGATTAGCACAATATTATTTTTTTGAACTAATCTATGAATCTCTATAAACTACGTATCAATTCTTTAATTATGAGTAATGTATGGTTCAAAACATAATATTCCCTAATGTTCTACGCAATTGATCTAAGATCTTTCCACTTTTGTTAGTTCTAAAACTATTAGTAAATCACCTTTATTAAAGATTTATGTAAGATTTTTTGAACAAGACTACTAAAAAAGTAATATAAGTTTTTCCTCGTTGTAAAATAAAATTTTTTCGGATACTTTTAGGAATCTCTATAACTTTGTTGAAAAGAGCAAATATACCAAATATCTTTGGCCATCCAGACAATTTAGCAAGTTGATTTGTTCCAATGCTTTCTAAACGAGCTTCTTTACAACTTATGTACTTTTGCATACTATTTACAAAGAAATATTTTAAAAGATATCTTAATAAAAAACATAAAGAAAAATGAGATTTCATCACATTCCAGTTGTAATTGTGTTGTCTATTAGTATAGATAATAACTTTTCTATTAAAAAAAGATAAAACCAATGTATCATTCTTATATGTACATAGAATTGACGAAAAAAATGAAAAAATCACTATTCACTATTAAGTAACTAGAAAACAAAATTGAGATGAAGTAAATAGTAAAACTTAAAATACCACAAGCATTAATAAGCACTTGAAGTTTAATTGTTATAAATTTAATTTTGAATAATTAAAGTTGTTAGCATTTTGAAAGCACACAATTGAGTGCAACATTGGAAGTTAGTTAAATTAAGGTTAATATGTCCATTAAAATGGTCACTTTCAGCTATTTTAAGTATTTTGTTAGTAGTTCTTTGTTGGTTTGAATTTTTTATCATCGTAAATATCATGAAACTTATTGGTGGCAACTCGTTATTGGTAGCAAAATTTTGTTTCTACTCTTTTCTTGAATAGATTTCTAGCATTGATAATTGAGAAATATTTCTATTAGAATTGGTACCTTACACCATATTGTTTTTGGGATCCGGTATTTTTTTTCTTTTTTTGTCTTCTAAAGTTTTAAATGAAAATAAAATTGAGAATTAAGATGAATTTTTGGATTTTGATTTTTTGAGACTCGCTACTAATTATGGTCAAATGAAACTATGAATAATGGATTTTTCTTACATCCACTCTAGCATATGCATACATGTTAAGAAATGATATTTAGGCGTAATAAGTTGGGAGAAATTTTCTTATAAAAGATCATGGAATAGGTTCTTTTTTTTTTTTTTTTGTGGTCATATAATGTTATCAACGAAATCAAAACTCGATCGGATTTTACATCTAATGAGAAACATTATTTGTTGGTCCCTTGTATATTTCATTGATGGTTATTATCTATGCTTATACAATATTGAGATTGTGTTTGCTTTTGAATTAGGGGTTTATGTAAGGCATTGTTATGCTTTCTCTAGTATTCTGGTTATTGATTACCAAGTTTTATTTTGGGTTTTTTGATGCTTTGAGACTACCGTTAATTATGGTAAAATGAAACTATAAATAATGGATTTTGCTTTCGTTGGCTATAACATATGCACACATGTTAAGATATGATATTCAATTATAACTTGAAATTAAAATTCTATTCAAAGATCATCGAATTGTTTTTTGTTTTTTTTTTTTTTTAGGGTTAGATAGTGGTATTTATTAAATCGGAACTCAAAACAGATTTTACATCCGATGAGAAAGATTGTTCTCTAGTCATGTTTTAGTGATGGCTCACATCCCATTAATTTATATTAAGATTTCCACTTAAGAGATTTGACCCTCGAATTGAAACACTTAAAAAATAAGTTGGAATTTAAAAAATATTAAAAGATTATTCTAAATCAGTATAGTTTAAAATTTATCTAATTTTTATTTACAAATATCCTTTAAATTGCAAAATAAATGCATTGTTGAAATATGCCACCGTTATTAATTATTGAATATTGAAAAAATAAGATCATGCTATAAAATTTTTTTTATTGATATAGTTTTTATAATTAAATTTCCTAACATGATATATATATATATAAATGCATTGTTGAAATATGCCACCGTTATTAATTATTGAATATTGAAAAAATAAGATCATGCTATAAATTTTTTTTTATTGATATAGTTTTTATAATTAAATTTCCTAACATGATATATATATATATATATATATATATATATATATATATATATATATATATATATATATATATATATATATATATATATATATATATATATATATACTAAACCATATGAGGTATTCATTATTCATATAATATTCATTTAGATCCAACATTAATGTATATTAAGGCCCATTGCTACTATTTTTGTTTCGAATCGTTGATCCTTTATCTTCTCCTTTTATAGCTATTTGATTTTCTAAATTTATCTCCTTTCTCTTTTTTTATTCTTTTATTTTGCAAGTTTTATCGGCTAAAAAGAGATAATCAAATCTTTGTAACCAATAGATTATTAGCACATCTTCAAATCTTATCTCCAACGATCTTCAATAGATAATGCTTCTCTCTCGCATGTATCTATAATTAAAAAAAAAAAAATCTCTTTCTCATATGTTCTCTCTTTCTCATATGTCTACAGACCAAACAAAAATTACTCATGTTGATCATACAACAAATATTCATAGTGATTCACTAATCAAAATCCCGAGTTCCCGACGATGCAAAATTAGAGGAATTCGATTCCATTTTAACTTATACGGTGCCCTCCACTTCATCTCGGTGAGCTTAAGTTCATTTTTAGAGAGAGATTTCCATTGAGATCTTAGAATAAAAGACAAGTTTTGTTTGATGTGAAGTTTTTATTTTTTGCCCGAATTTTGCATATTACAATTGTTTGGAGTTAAAAAGTTTTTTTTTTTTTTTCTATTCCTGCATTCTCATAGTTATACAAATTTTGTATTTTTGGATTCATAACTAAAGAAAAGGAGAGATTTAAAGAAAGATGGAAATTAAAATATAAAATTAGTCGACATGGCGAGTACCAATTTGTTTTATTGCAGAAACCATTCATGGCCTCCCAATGAATATATTAGCAAAAACACCTTATAATTGGTAACCACTTTATAACTATCTCTCTCACTTTGATATAATTGATCTTTTTTTCTATTTTGTTAATGATTTGAGTCTACTATTTGGTTTCGAAGAAAAATCATGAGAAGGAAAAAAGTCAAAATATTCTTTCTAAGAGATGGGTCAAAGAATCATGCCTTAAGCTACTTAGTACTTTATCGAATCAATCATAAGAAAAAAAAATTAGTGATTTGCAACATTAAAAATGTATTTTAGTATTAGCTACTATGCATCTGCGAATTTAACATGCTTTAATATTTTCCCTTAAAATATTATCTATTTTGGACGGAAAATTTTTTTGGACTTGATAGAGAAAATAAGCAACATTTTCCTTCCACTTCTTCTTCTCTTAATTTTAAACGATGAGGAAAAGATGAGGCACTTTTAAGTTTCCTTTCTCTTCTCCCTATTTCCTCCTTACTGAATCTGTACTAAAGATGTTGGATGTATGTAACTATTATTGTATTGTATGAAGGTTGTTTTAAGCATTGCTAACTATAATTTTTTAAGGTGTAATGCCTCATTTCAAAAACAACAGTTGTCTTAGTTGATAAATCTTAAAAGGCTTCTCAATATGAGAAATGAGAAGTTTCTATTGATCTGTTAACTAATTCAATATCAAAACACAGGATCAACAAAACCATTTTCAACACATTTTGGACTGCGTAGGTTGCTTGCAATGAGAGTTTCTGTTGCCTTGATAGGGAATTGTATGATCTTTTCTCCTGTTATATTGAATATTTGAAGCAATTCAACCAGAACAATAGCTATCTATTAACATTCTGTATTCTAAATTGATGTAGGGTGTCATGCAGCATCATGAAGAAATGGTGGAATACTTCAAAACCAAGGGTTTTTCAGCTATATTTCTCTTCAGGAGAAATCTGTTATGTAGGATGATTTTGATACTTGCAAGTTCTTATGATCAAGATACGAAGCCATTAAATGGAACCCATAAGTCTCATGTTCATCTCTCTCTCTCTCTCTTGAGTTTATGTATGTGATATCTTCTATCAAGTGATGGTTTTAAGTAGAGATACAAGCTAAATACAAGCCTTTGATCAATACAACATTGCTGGTACCTAATCTGAAACAAGTAGAAGACCCAACTGCTAAAGCCTTTGAGTACTTCAAGACTATGAGGCATATAATTCTTTACTACGAGGATGTCATCAAGAACTGCACAATAAGCCAAAATTTTAAACCTTTTTGTTTAGAACTCCCTACTGTTGGTCAATGCCCATGAATGTAGGTTCAGCTCTACAATGTGACCAAACAAAGTTCAAATAATTTTATTTCATTTTTTTATACATAGCTTTTAAGATTGTCTAGAACCCTTTCAAGAATCTATTTTATGTTAAATACTGCTATAGTTTGATTACATTCAATTTTTTATTGGTGATATTATTTAGAATGTTATGCTTACAATTTCTGTTAATGAAATCCCTCATGTCATCCAAATATTAGGTTGTTATTTATTTGATTCTAGACCCTTAACTACCTAATTAATGAAGGGTTTCTAGGCTATGGCTATACATAAAACAATTAATAGATTACCTTGATAATATAACAATTAGGGTAAGATCGCTTATGAAAGATATGGCTATGCCTTTTGCAAGAACGTATCTAATGTTTTGTAGGAGGCAATTGCTTCCAGGTAGGTTTTTTCATTATGCAAAGTTCTCTCTATTTCTTAAGAGAAAATAGGTTCAAAATCAAGATTTTGTGTCTTAAATTTTATTGGAATTTGTCGTCAATATATGAGATTTAATATTTAATTTATACTTTAATTGTTAATACCTTTTCTTTTTGGATAGACCAAAGCTATTTTTTTTTAATGATTTTTCCTCTTTTTTTTTTTTAACCATTATTGGCACAAAAATTATATGAAATTAATTGTGAATTATGGTGTAGGCATTAGTGTCACCATATTTTGCTCTGTACATACTTAGCGTTTGACTTGCTATATTCTATTGGTATGTGAATTTGATTTGATGTTTGTTATTGGTGATTTCTACATATCAAGAGAAATGGCTTTATGTACTTTTACTAGCACATCATAAGGGTCTTATTTCTGTAATTTTGAGCTATACTTTGATAATGCTATGGTTCCATTTTAAGCATGAGGGATATGTGGAGAGTCTTGCCATATACTAATATAAGGCAGGAAGCCTACGACTTCATTCAAGCAAAGGTTGCCTCTATAAATAACACAGACAATGCTATTTAGTGCGATCGCATAGATAGCAAGTTGAATTCCTTTCTACAAAAGGTAACCTGGCACTAATGCAACGTCGGTCCTAATAAAGACCTGTGTCTATTGTGTGGCCTGCCTTTATTGTGAACTATATGTGATGCAATTTAACTAATTTGGAACATTAAGAATTTTACTTTTATACCTACTATTTCATCTATAGATTTGAGTTTGATAGAAACATGTCATGATACACTTTATGGTAGTATCTAAGAATGTATTAATGTATGATGATATGCTGATAATATTTATTGATCTTGGCTAGCGGTGTTATATGATGGGAATTTTGATAAATGAAATAGTTGATTGCAACTGGATAAGATTATTATTATTATAATGAATAGGTATTCGGTAATAACAATATATTGCCTTATCGTCTACATTGTGATTACCAAACTAAAATATAAGCTGTGCATTACATCTGCTATCCTTTTCACACCTCATGATTTTCTTCACACTTCATGAATTTTTATGCTTTTAAAACACCATTTTTCACATTTGAATGAAAATAATGTAGTTTAATTGATTGAAAATAAAAATTTAACTTTTTATTCAAAAATTAACTATTCTACTTGCATATTCAAGAATGCCGATTAAAAAGGTTTTTACTTTCTTTCAATATCTTACATAAAAATAGAATATGAATATAGTAATGTAATTTAAAGGAAAATAGATATGAATATAGTAATGTAATTTAAAGAAAAAAGGCTACATAAACACTATTGATGAATTAAATTGAGATATTTTAATTTGTATGATTATTACAAAAATTAGATGCATAATATTTTATCCTAACATACTTTTTGCCCGCAATTTTCTAATCATGTAATTAACATGATTATAATAACCAATCGAATAGTCATCTTATTTACATGTTATTATAGCGATGAAAATATGATCCTCGCATTTGTGCAAAGTTTATATTTTTTCAATAAAAAATATTATATATAGCTAGCAATTTTTGTTTCATATTTTCTTTTTGAAAGCAAAATGTAATTGCTATGCACTATCGATTAGTGTCAAATATAAATATTAAAATGTTGGTATTTTCTATAATTATTTTTTGAAATGTCAGGAAGGTAAATGTTTCAACACATTTTGACCAAACAAACACTTTTTTTTCATAGATTTTTTTTTTTTTGGCTTATTTTTGGTTAAAAATGTGTTCTTATATGCATAAAAAAGGTTGAGCTTCAAGTCCTTTTTTTTTTTCAGATGATTTTTTTCTATGACTTTTAACAATCTTATAACAGTCTATTTTGGTTTTGGTCCATCGTTTCGTTTGGTTATAAGCTGTAAAAAAAATTTCTTCCTCTCTAGCATTGCTGTTTAGATGAAATTAAATAAAATGTTTTTATTGTATTGTTGTCTTTCTTTTTATATATTGATGGCCATTTTTTTTAGTGCTAGCTCTGTAGGATACTTACATCAAGCATTTGAGATTAATATCCTAACATTTGTATACACATGGATTGCATAGGTGCTTTGTTCTAAATTCAGAATTTTTGTATTTTAATACGGATATTGAAACTGAATTATATGTATCTATAATAGTATAACATATATATTTTTTACATATTTATATCCATTTGATTTGAGTGTTGTTCCAATTAGTAATATAAGAAAACTCTTAAAATTGATGTTCTTTAGAAAGCAATCTTATAGATGTTGTTCATCTTTAATAAAGCTCATGCCTTGATTTTAGAGAATGCCATATATAAGGGATTATGTTGAAATTATTTTTAGATAAATCTATATTATTGGTCAAAATACAGTTGCTAGATCAATTTTTAGGGGAGGTCATTGCTTTAGATTTGTATGGTGTAGTTTGTTATATTTTGTTTATGGTGTTTAAAGATATAGAGTAACTTCATAACTTGTATAAAATATTAGTTAAGAAATTGAAGTTTTTTACCATACATAATATGTTGTAGTTTAATACTACTCCTTCTAGCTGTTAATGTAAATGTTTGGCTATTTGGCGAGACTAAAGATAGTGTTGGTAAAATTAAAAATTTTCACTGTTGCATTATTTGAAAAAAAAAAAAATTCAGTCAGCTCTTTTTGTATAGCATAGTTAGATGAATTCCTTTATTTTGGGTCCCTACTTTTGTCGTATTGAATCCTTTAATCAGTTTTTACAGTCCTTTTTTGGGATTAAAAAAATTTAGATGACAAGTTCTTTGCAAATAATGATCATATTTAACTCCTTACTATATGTTGCCCTTCCTTTATACTTGGCCAAAGTTTAGCATTAATCTATACATATATTTGCTTCTGGTGACCTTTCTTCTTCCTCTGACAATAAATGGCAACTGTTATTTATTTATACCTTATTTTTTCCCATTTAACATAAACTTTGACAGCCTTTAATTCAAGAACTGACATTATTAATATTTCTAGCATTAATCTATACATATATTACATGTTTATTCATAAATCCTCCCCACTTTGATTATAGATATTGTGTTTCATGCATCATTCCAAATAGCATCGTTGAAGCAAAGGTGTTGATCAATAGGATATCGGTGCAGCTTGCTTTGGCATCACATGCTAACATCTACTCTTTAACTGTGGTTGGATAAAAAAAAAAATTACAAATCTACAACCATTACTTGATGCCATGAATTCACATAAGTTTTTTCAAGTTTGACGCAACCTTTGCTTTGGAGAAGCAGTAGATTAACCTTTCCTTTCGAGAAGCATTAGATCATCATTTTGTAACAACTAGTGTATCCAACGATGTACATGATGCAATTGAACAAGCCAATTCTAACAGACAAAAAACTTTTTATTTCAATGATTGCTACACTCATTTTAAGACAAAAAAAAAAAAAAAAAACATTATATATATATATATATATTTGGTCATGATACTTCAAAAAACAAAAATTAACCAGATCAAACAATGTCCCAGCGTTATTTAAACTGCTTTCAAATACATTTGTGCTCTTCTCGCTACGTAGCACAGGTCTCAATCTAGTAAATTCTACATGATCTCTCTCTTTCTCTTTTTGGCGCTTAGTTATAAAACTGACACATGCAAAGTTCTCCTTTCTTCTTTGTCTTTTTTTTCCTCCATAATCTATCATAATATTATAATAAATAAATAAATAAAAGAATTGGAATAGGCTACTATTTTTGGCATTGTTCATTTAGATTCGTGTGCACTATTTATTTTTACTATATGATGGTATTTTTGCGATGTTTTTAAATTTTTAGGCATTCATATGTAAATTTAACATCATATTTTATTCGATCCCCGATATTCTTAGAAAAAAATATTTTTGGTCCATAGATGAATCGAGCGTGCATGCTTGCTTTTTTTAGTTTTTTTTTTTAGTAATTTTTTTATTATAGAATTGGGTGAAAAAAATATAAAAATCAATTGTTATTTTTTTCAATTTGTCATACAGTGTAGTGATTATGAATTATATATATACCACTAAACCCAAGGATCTAATGAATGGTGCAAGTATGAAATGAAAGAAATTAAAACACAAGTTGAAAATTAGGCGGCAGAGCTAACCATAAAGATGCGGATAAACAAGGAATTAAAACACAAAAATAAATAATTAAATGCAAGAACAAAATTTAAAACGAAATGAAAACCAAAAAGATAAACTTGGCGGCAAAGCCAACTACTAACGAGATAGATACGTAAAAAATTTTATTTGAAATAAAATAACTTACAAGGGATACGCAGAAGCAAAAATGCTATCCGAAGTTTTGATGTTTTGTTACGAGTTTTCGAGTCTTGAGAGAATAAAATTACGGAGAGAATTCTATTCTAGATAATGTCCGAAAAACTTGGCCCCTAAAACACTTGGATTGTTACAATGAGAATGAGCTTCCTATTTATAGAAAGAAAGTCTGTCTTGAATAGTAAAAAATGAACAAGTAACTTTGAACAATGTCTTCACATGTTGATGAATAGTAAGACGTCGAAAGTATATTTTGTCTTGATTTGTCACTCGGGATGAACAATGACTAGTTTTGTTTGAAAGTAGGAAATTGCCCGGAAGGTGCAATTTCGTCTTGGAGTTCACGAGTGATGAACTAAGGAAAAGATTTCGGATCGGTCATCCTCGATATCATTACCCATATCTATCAAGGGTTCGATTCGGAATTTGATTCTTCTACTTGAGAGTAACTTGACCTATTTTGCACCATTTCATACATGATGGCAAAATATTCTTCTTCATTTTTGGTCGCTGCAAGTTTGGCATTAACAACGGATTTTTGAGCCGGGAAATTTGTTGAGGTTGGACCAAGTTTGATACAACCTTGTTTTGTAAGCCATTGATATACCGAGGCTTGGGATAGTAAGGAAGGAACATTGAAGCATCCCACCATTTGACCTTGAACTTTCGGGTTAAGATCAAGATTTGCTCCTAATACTCGGAATCATAGAACCAAGAACATACCTAGTGTCGCTACCCGACATCGGACGAGACTCCTCAAAAATATCTAAAATTAGATTGAATATTTATAAGTTTATTTATAGAGTTTGGAGTCGCCACCTAGTATTGAAGGAACTAAGAACCTAAAATGGAGACTGGTTCGAAGATTCTATGGTAAGGAGTTGGTTACGCTTTTGGGAAGATATCGATCACCCAAAAGCGTCCATTTTCGAAAAAAGGTACCACGTCTGGTTTAGCTCTAAATTTATCTCCTAAAATATTTTATTTTTGTCAAATTATTCTTTTTGATTTTTTAAACTCCCATTTTTTAAAACAAATTGAATTTTTTAGTTTTGAGCGTGGCATCGTATTGAAACGATCATCGGTCCCCTTCGTCGGGCGACACGTCGATTCAAACATCGGAATCACTTTAAGCTTTGACACAACCGGTGTGTCGAAAGATATTTTGATTTAAATAATGATTTTTTTTGTGACGTCGGTACCAATCGGATAGGAGACTTCATCGAGAATTTTAAAATTTTTTTGTGTAACGTCGGTCCCTACCATGTAAGAGACTTCGATGAAAATTTGGATATATATTTTTTCTAGTTTTCTTTTTATTTTCTTAATAAAAAAAAACTCTAAGATCTTAATTAACTGAAATAAACTAAAATAAATTTTGAGAAATTGAATGTATTAAAATCACCGTCCGTCCCTAATAAATAGGAGACTCGTTGATCCAATATTTTAATCACATAAAAAAAACATCACATATTAGAATAAATTCCACAACTAAATATCTCTAGATTTTTGAACATGTATAAGACAAAAAAGTATTTCAAAAACACATAAAAAAATAAAATAAATAAAAATAAATAAATAAAGCAAACACAAACGAGTCTAAAATTCACATATATTATAAAATTACCAAAATACCCCTGGAATACCAAGAGTCAACGCTAAGCGACCGTTCATCTTTCGATGATCGTTATAGCGCATGGACCACCCAACCTTGTAGATCCGATCATTGCAACTCCGATGGCGGTGGTTTCAACCGGAGACGACGACGGAGAAGGGAGATCGGAGCCTCCAAAGGTTCGATCGGATCTTCCTTCTTCACCGGCGATGAATCCGACCTCTTATCGTGATTCCAAACCCACCGGTCGACTCGCAAGGCTAAGAGAAGAAGTTCCGTGGT